GCACCTAAAAGGTAAATCTTTGGAGGCTTTCAGTGACTAGAGATATTTATATTCTTCTTTTAAGCTTGACTAACAGTTTAGCTGGCTGTTAATTATAAATATTTGTTTCCTCAAAATTGTCTTCTGACATCCAATGTTGCTGTTAAAAAGTCTAGTGTCATTCTCCTACCTATTCCTCTGTGTGTCATTTGTTTTTCCTTTCTTGAAGCTTTTTTAAAAATTGAAGTATAGTTGATTTACAGTGTTGTGTTAGTTTCTGGTGTACAGCAAGTTATATATGTGTGTATGTGTATATATATGTGCTTTTTGAAGCTTTTTTGTCTCATCCCTTTCTCTCTGGTGTTCTGGGATTATGTGACCCCAGATTATGTGGGATTGTGTGGGATCATGCGTTTCATACTTTTTGTTTGTTTGCTTGTCTCATCTGTGTCACTGAGCACTCAGTGGGACCTTACCCTCTGATAATTTATATCATCTAGTTGTGGGGATTTTTCTTCAATTTTTTTTTTATAATTTCCTCCATTCTATTCTTTTTTTTTTTTTTCTGTTCACTTTCCCCCCCCGTATCTCTCTATTCTGTTAATCAGGATATAGACTTCTGGCAGGCGAAAATCCTACCACTGAACCACCAATGCAACCCAGGATATAGACTTCTGGATTGATTTTCTAACTTTCTTTTTTTCTCTCTCTGCTACTTTTCCATCAATACTTGGGGGAAAAAAGGCTTTTCTCTTGTCATTAGACAAGATATAATATTCATTTCCTGGAGTCTTCCTTGATCATTGTCCTCATAACCCGGCCATCTTTTGAAACTTTAAAAAAAGGCGGGGAGGAGAATGAAACTACAGAGGCTAGACTAAGCCCACTCAGCTGCAGGAGTGCTGCTCCCCTGTTATTATGGGAACTTAGTCCCCTGAAATCTTTGCTTCCAGTGCTCCTGCCAATGCCATTTAAATAACTCACCTTCTATTTGTATCAAACAAGCCTATGTTTTCTGTGCGCAGTTACCTTACTTTTACTCATACTCTGCTTATTGATGATTCCTCTGTTATGGTATCTGTGCGAAACTTTCTCATCTCTGGTGTCTTGTAGCTTTTTCTGTTATAACAACAGCTAATTTGTATTTCTCATGAAATGTTTCTGAGATAATCTAATTAGCTACCTAATCACCATCATTCCTGTTTGGGCAGATCTGTTTTTCCAGGCCATCCCATATATCTCAGCCCGATTGCTTGGCTGCCCTTGAGTCAAGTAACCATTTCTGGCAAAATCACCTGTGGGCTGGGGGTGAGGAATGGGTCAGGAGATACCATCAAACCCTGTTTGAGGAACCACCCAGGGCTACTTTTCTACCATGAGGCTATTGATACGGCAAATATTCAGAGACATGACGAGCCCTTTACAGCGATTTTCCCATAGACACTCAAAACTTGAGTCTCACTCAATGACCAACTTGAAAAGTGGAAATAATTTGATATCTTCCACCTATTCCATAGGATTGTTATGAAAATGAAAGAAAATATTGTAAGTTATAAAGCACTGCATGCTGTGAAACAACTAGCAAAACCCCTGGCTTATAACAGATGCTCCATCGACAGGGGTGTAACAGGATGCTGCAAAGTGCCCAGAACCAAAACGGGCGATTCAGCCCAGTGCTGAGAACTACAGCATGAAGCACCACTCGTCCTTTAGTCCAGGGCACTGCCGGGCACTGGGGCTGCCGGCCGGGCGTGCTGACAGTGCCTGTCAGAAGAGCCAGCAAGTCTGCTGTCATTCCTGCCTGGAAGGCCTGAGAACAAGAAGTGGGGGACTTTTGGTGGCAGGATGCAGAGTTCCTAAGAAGAGACTGTTCCCTCTTCTCACCAACCTGGGAAGAGGAGCAAAGGTGCTTCCTCTTCCTGAAGCACAGGGAGGGAAGCTTCATGAGTGTGTGTGTGTGTGTGTGCACATGTAACCACATCCATTCCTGCTCACTGAGTCAGGGACATGTGAGAGTGTCTCTCGTGTGAAGCTGCCAGTGCTGGAACTAGCAGAGATCCTGCTGACACCCCGTATGGAGAAAGGGGTGGGAGAGGGATGATGGAGCTGAGAAAGAACAGATGGTCTTCTTTTAAAAAAAGTTTCCCCTGAAGCTAAAATTTTTAATTAAGAAAACTATTACTTTTCCTTCTTAAAAACCCCTTTTTATGGTAAAATATAGCACACAGACAGAAAAAAATTAAATGTGTAGCTTAGTGAGTTATCAAGGCAATGTATGTGTAACTATCACTAAGGTCAATAAAAAACACATTGTTAGCACCCCAGCAGTCTCCACCTGTGTCTGTTTAAAATCAGAAAACCCCACTCCCCCAAAAGATAACCATGACTTGACTTTTATAATAATTACACTCTTTCTCTTTTTAAAAAAAAAAACTTTTTTTTCAACTAAGCATGCATCCCAAAGCATTATACTTTAATATCACTTGTTTGGGGAATTTATACAAAGGGAATCATACAGCATGAATATACATCATTTTGTCTATCCATGCTACTGTTGATGAACATTTGGTTTGTTTCCAGTTCAGGGCTATCATTAACATGCTGCTATAGCAATTCTTGTACATGATTCCTGGTGTGTGTGTGTACATCTCTCTGGGGTGTATACCTAGGAGTGGAATTGTTGGGTGATAGAGTATGTGAATTCTCAAATTGACTATGGAATGTTTTCCATGTGGATTTCCAATGTACATTCTTACCAGCAGTTTAGGAGAATTCTCCATGTTCTACATCTACAATGATAATTCTTCATTTTTTAAAAAGTATTTGTTTTGGCAGGGGGTGATAATTAGATTGATTTATTTACTCATTTTTAGAGGAGGCGCTGGGGATTGAACCCAGGATCTTATGCATGCTAAGCATGCACCCTACCACTTGAGCTATATCCTCCCCCGATAATTCTTCATTCTGAGACAATGTCCTTCTGTATGAAAAAGCCCTTTTTAAAAAAAATGATAACAATGATAATGGTAGAATTAACAGATTACTCTTTTTTAGTGACTTTACATGGCAAAATGAAGATCTAGTTGTTCTATTTAGGCCTTGTTTTTCCCCTTAAAATTCTATTGGACCATGACTTCCCAAATGCTAGAAATCATTGTCTCACATAACATGATATAGATTATGCCTACTTGCTGTTTTAACATCAAAAACCACTTGATACATGTAGTAGCCAACCTCCAAGATGGCCCCCAGTGAACCAACTCTCTTGGTATTGATATCTTTGTGTAGACTTTGCACAATGAATAATGGCTGATTTCGTGACCAATGGAAGTGTCAGTGTATGAATTCACAAGCTAGGTCATAAAAGACATTGCTGCTTCATTGTTGGTATTTTGGATCAATTACTCTGGGGAAGTCAGCCACCATGCTGTGAGGATGCTGAAGCAGCCCTGTGAACAGGCTCACATTGAAAAGACCGTTTACCAAGACCAACTTGCTAACCAATGAGTGACCCACCTTGAACAAACTTCAGCCTCAGTCAAGCCTTCAGATGATTTTAGTCCTTCAGACTGAATTTTCCAGCTAGACCTCAGAAAACATAGGGACAGGCAATTCCCCCGTGCCCTGTCTGAATTCCTGATGCACAGAAACCATGAGATAACTAACACATGATTATTGTTGGTTTAAGCCACCAAATTTGGGGAGAATTTGTTACACAACAAGAGATAATTAACACATATGGCCACCAAGAAAGTGTCCTTGCCAAAAATTTTAACCTGCATCTGATAATGCCTCTGTATTTAATGACAAGTTTAGAAGAAGTAGAAGTGACAAAGGAACATGTTAAATAGTGTACCACAGAGTTGCAATTAGCAAAATCCGGAATATAGGAAATTCTACAGCACACATGACCCAATTTCTTCAGCCAGTAAATTAGGGAAAAAAAAAAAAAAAAGATGAGACGGGGAACTTATAAATCAAAAGGGATTTTCAAGGTATGGTCGATTGTATTACTCCCAGTATTTGCTGCCTTCTCCTATGGGAGAATTATACATCCCTTTTCCTTTCTGACATCAGCTTTGGCCATGTGATTTTCTTTGACCAGTGAAATGTGATCAGATGTGATGGTTGCTACTTCTGAGCAGAAGTTTTAAAAGTCATTGTGTTTCAATCATTCCTCATTTCCATCTGCCAGGAAGTGGGTGTATCCCAAATAGGGACTGTTTCTTCAGCCCATGGCCAAGAATGAAGAGGATGCAGAGCTGACTCACAATGGAAATTCACCTGAGCAGGAAATAAACCCAATTTGTCGTTAAGCCACTGGGATTTTGGAGTTGGTTGCTACCACAGTATAACCTAATGTAATCTGATTCATGCAAGATACATTTCAATCAAATAGAAAACCTTGTTAGGATTCCAATTTATGAAAACATTCTGGAAATTTGAATATGGACTAGATATTTAATGATAATTAAGCACTGCTATTTAGTTTTTAGGTGGGTTTATGGTACTGCAGTTATGTTTAAAACAACAAAGAGTTCTTTTATTTTAGACACATGGTCCAGGGGGAAGGGAAGGTAGGTAGGAATATAGATTGGTCATGAGTTGATCACTGCTGAGCTGGGGGGTGAGTACATGCCAGGTTTTCACTCTTCTTTCTACTTTTGTTAATGTTTGGAAATGTCCATAATAAAAAGTTTTTAAAAAGTAGTCTATTGACTTGAGTCCCAGAGTTTTCCCCTAACTCCCAAGGGGTTACAGACAATATGGGAGCTGAGAGGATGGAGCTGATCAATTAAGGTTAGTGAGTAAGGACATAAGGGAGGTGTTCGGATCAGGTCTCAGAAAGAAGACATCAGAACTAATTTTCAGTAAGAAAGATGTTTCTTCAGGAGCATTATATCAGGTTAGAGCAATATCAGGGTAAGATCTGGAGCACTGGGGATGGGTGGGGACTTCTGGAGCTATCAGCTTCCACCTCAAGTGTAAAAGGGGACGGGTGTGGCTTAAGCAGAACTGTTATCTCTTCTCTATTAGCTCAAATCAAACGTAGTATCTGTCTTACAAAGTAAAGCACCTGATGTATTTTTTATCTGTGTTCTGGGAATTAAATTAATGTTTGGAATTAGGAGATGGATTGGGTGCTTACTCTATCCGCTCCACGCCTCAACTTGGAATTGCACTACTTCCAGGAATAGTACACTCCTTCTGAGTTAATGACAGATTGTTTTCTATTGTTCCCCCTTTCTCCTACAAAGTGTTCTAATTCACTCTTTTTTTTTTCCCTCTAATTCACTCTTAATGAGGCTCCAGACTGCATTTCCACTGTTTGTACTGCAAGGATAGGATTTCCTGTAAGTGGAGTAGACAAAGTAGCTGAGCTTGAGCCATCCTGCCAGAATTTTGGACAAGAGGACCCCTTGGGCTGAGGGAGAGAAGAGGTTGAGCCTAAGATAGGCCCTGTGTCAGGAGACTGTGTGCTAGGGACATGTGACTCAGGGAGGGCCAACCTGGGCAGCTATAGAGGAGGAAGAAAATCTGTTGGTATTGGAGAGGCAGCAGCAACCTCGGTGGGAGCACCCACCCTGTCCAAAGGAGCCAAGTAAGTAGATCTCATTCCATCCTCCAAACCTAGGGTGGTCCCGTCTGGGAAAGAGAAGACGCAGGTGTGAGAGCAGACACATCTCCCACCCCCACTTCCACTAGATTGACACTGAAGTTTTGTATTGTTTTGTTTTTGATATTTAAGTTTAAAAATGAACAGGGCCGAGCACAGAGATGAGGCTGGGAAGTTGTGGAATTATGGAGATATCACTGAGATATCACTGAGTTAAGGCAGTTCACCGACCAGAGTAAAGAAAGGATTCTACCAGAGGAGGCTGGGTGCAGGTAAACAGCTTCATGTTAACACCCCGTGAATTGCCACACCTTAATAATCACAGGGTTCCTCCATTTCCCCTAACAACACAACAAAAAACAAAACCACAAAAGGTTCAGGCTTTTAGTGATACACCATCCACTTCAAACTAGACAAAGCTTGTCTTCCACAATTGCCCTTCCTAAACTTCCCTTCCTTCTGCCTTCTGTCCCTTACCCTGCAGAAAATCTGTGCCCTCCTGCTGCTCTCTGTGCAATTAACTAGAGCCGAACGTATGCACCATCAAGAACACTAAAAGTAAATATCTGTATTTTCTTTTAATATTTTGCTTACTGTGACCAAATTTTAGTTCAATTTCAAAAGCAAGTGGGTGAGGTGTGGCCTAAATAAACATGTCAGTGAACTCTGTCCTATCATTTTTGGCTGCGTGGCTTTTGTACTGTAAACCAAAGTTTTCTACAGACAGCAAAGGTTGGAAAGATCTTCCGTGGTAATACATTGATATTTAAGTTCTGAAATTCCACTTGCTTCATCAAAAGTCTACCCACTGAAAACCGTTTCCCACTGATAATCCTGGAATTAAGGTCTAGTTAGTGCCTGAGTCGCACATAGGATCACTTCCAACCCACCCACACAGCTGAAAACACATTTTTCACCGATTATAAAATCCAGAGCTGTCAAAGTTCCTTGCAAAGAGAGTATTTTATCAGCTGATGTTATTTTAATTATTCATTTTTAATGAGGAATCTATGAATATCTTCACAAATCAGAATTAACAGGTAGACTGTCACCTAAAAAAAGTCAAGTTACTGTCTAAGGGTTTCACTGGCATTAGGCAATTATTGTCATAATTGAAATACTTCAGCTTAGGAAGGTATATGTGTGTGCTTTAAAAGGTAGTTTTAATATTTGCCTTAATAGTCATTAATGAACACACTGAAGTGCTCTAATGGGGAATACACACTCTAGGGGGTGGTCTGTCAGCACTGAAGGGACCTAATCAGGACCTTGGACTTGGAATCAGTGGCTCCTGCAGCTCCTTCAACTATTTCAGTTTAGTCTGTATCTGCACTAGAGGATATATTCTTTAGCATAAGAGATATTAGAAATAATCTAATAATGTATTAGTGAAGTGTAAGGTTATTGAGGTATGTGTACTACATGGGCATCTTGCCCTTAAATGAATGGGGCATGAATTTGAGCCCAGAATGATGCGCCAGGCCTGGGTGTTTTAGTCCTGTGCTTGCCACTTAGTGCAGGATTCTGTCACCTGATTGGACGAGAAGTGTGGCTGGATCCTGCTCTAGGACACTGTGGCATCTGGTCCAAGTGAACTTTTCATGAAGGGTTCTGACCGGGAGTCACGAGCTCAGGGAACACACATGCCTGCCTCATGTGCATGTCAGCTAATCTGTGTCCACCCGTGGAATTCTGTTGGAGACTGACTTTCATGAACTTTCAGCACCCAGTAGCCCTGTGCAGGGCGAGAAGTCTAAGGATACAAACTGGCAGAGGTCCCACCAAAATGCTAACAAACATGCACCACCAAACTGGCTGAAGCCAATGAACAACATTTGGTCCACAAGTAGTTCTCGTGAGATGTAGTTAATGAAAAAAAAAAAAAAAAAAAAGAGGGTCAAATTGGGGAAAAAAATCTATGTACAATGACAAAAATTTGGGGAAGATTCATAGAAGTGTAGTTTTGTCTACATAACAATAATAACAAAAATTATATAGAGTTTACTATGTGTCTGGCATTGTTCTAAACTCTCTATATCTGAATATATGTATTCATTTACTACTTATCACAACTCTATGAAGAGATACTATTATATTATTAACCCCATTTCACTGGTGAGGAATCTGGGGCACAAAGTGTGACTTGCCCTAGATCATAAGGCCAAGTAAGCGGGGAAGAAGCGATTTGAACCTAGGCAGTCTGACTCCAGAATCCAGGCTCTTACTGTTTTAGACACATTTCCTTTCTGAAAAACAGCTGTCGGTATATGACCAGAAGCCACAGGAGTTTATAGAAATTAAAGAAAACTGGACTGGCTCTAAGAGCCTGGGGGAAAACTAAGGAATTCGGAGGTTTTTCTTGGCTTGGGAAAAGGCCCTTCCCAACGAGAGATTCTTCTGTCAGGCATCATTTTGGCAGTAGGGCTTCTGTGATGAATTAAAAATAAAGACCTGTCTCTTGGTTGATGATGTATATAACAGTTTTCCTAGATGCAACGAAGCTGCCGGGTATTAGGAGACTTAGACGAGAAAGGCAGGCAGCAGACAAGCTGCTTCTCTTTCCCGTATCTGGCTCTGTTCCCTTTCTATCTCCCTATGTCATCCTATACTAGAACAACCACTCACACGCGTGAGGTTACTCATCTAAGTCATAGCAAAACATTCCTTTGTGAAGCCCTATTTTCCTCTGTTCCTTGCAGTCCCTCAGCTAGGGCAAGAGTTGGGATAATCTGATGACTAGCACAGTCATTTGGTGAACTCCTTACCTGTAGCTATAAATCTGATCTTACATCTTGCTTATGCAAGTTCCTTTCTGGGCATGGTTCTTAGAGAGACCAGAAACCTCCCCACCCACAGTCAGCATCCTCTGGATGTCCTTGGTTGATTTACTCATTCTAATTCCAGCAACGTAATTTTACCCACATATTGTATAAGCAAGTGTTTAGAGGTCCACTAGGGTCTTCTTCCATTTCCCTGTCACCGAGGGAACATGGTGTGCATCTCCCACAGTCCTCCTTTTCTCAGCCTAGCTCTGCACTTACTCAGGATGCTGGTAAACCACTCATTCAACCACATCACATAGAACTATAGGAAACTAAGCATAGTAGACTAACAAAATGGTTGAGTGGGCAGCCAGACTCTCAAACGTTTCAAGGATCTAGGATTTTTAGTGTTCTCATAACTGTTACTTACTTGGTGCACTGTTAATTCTTTTTAAAAAATCTCCAATACTTGCATATATCAAATTGCTTTTATGTAAAGATATAATAATTAATTGATGTATTCATTCAACCTGAATTGAGTACGCAGTGCTGGAAACTCCAGAGGAATAAGATATGGACCTGCTGATGTGTTGGAGTTGTTTTGGTTGCTGGTGATAGGAATCCAACTTAAACTAGCTTAAACGAAGAGAAAATTTACTGACTCGGGTAACTGAAAATTCAGGCATGGCTGAATCAAGGGGGCTCAAATGATTTCATCAGAACTCCCTTTTCTCCATTCACCTCTGCTCATTTTTGCTTTTCTTTGTGTGCTGGCCTCATTTTCTCTTACTAAAGATGGCTTCCTCCAGTATGACCTGAACACAGGGCCCTCAGAAGCTCCAGCTAAGATCATTCTTAGAGCTCAAAATAACAAATAGAGACCCCCTTCTCCCCTAGAATCCATATATCAAAAATCAAGGAAGATTCTGATTATCTCCAGTTGATCACATGCCCATTTAACAGACCACTCTGGCCGGATGAATGTAATATTCAAATTGGCCAGGCTTAGGTTATATGCTTCCCCCTCAGATGTGGACAGTTCAAACTTGGGATTCTGATGGACAGTGGAAAACTTGAAATGTATTTTCCACATAGAGCAAAGGGTGATGGATAGAGAAAAAGAATAGATACTGTCTGTGGTAGTCAGCCTCAAAGACAACCCCAAATGAGCCTCACTTCCTGGTATTTAAATCCTTGCATGATTTTCTATACTGTGTCATGGCTGTCCTCTGTGACGAACAGAATCCTACAGAAGTGATGGTGTGTGATCTTCAAGGCTAGGTCATAAAAGACATTATAGCCTTCATCTTGCTCTCTCTTAGAATTCCGGCTCTCTCTTAGAAGGAGCCAGACACCATGTTGTGAGCATGCCCAAGCAGCCCTATGCAGAGCCACCTGAAGAGTAACTGAGGCCCTCTACCCAAGCTGCTACCAGCTTGCTAGCCACTGAAATGTGCCATCAGAGAAGTGGATTTTCCAGCCCCCAGACAAGGCTTCAGATGACTACAGCCCTGGCCTGCACCTTGACTGCGACTCAAACCTGAACTAGCTAGCTAAGCTTCTTTTGAATTCCCAAACTGCAGACATTATGAGATGGGTGAGATAATAAATGTTTATTGCTGTTTTAAGCCATTAAGCTTTGAGGAATTTTGTTACTCAGGAATAGGTAACTAATGCATCCACTATACTTGCTCCCAAGTAGCTCATTGCCCAGCTTAAAGACATAGACATTTAAATTATTAATTGGGATTTGTGAGCAGGAAAGGAGAGAGGAGATGGACGAGAAGCCTCTGTGAAGTTTTACAGAGGAGGCCACCTTTGAGCTGGGC